CTAAGACAATAATGAGGTTGATGAGAATGTGAAGACAGAAACTTCTTTGATTACTGATGAGAATGTAAAATGGTGTAGTCACTACGGAAAACTATTTGGTAGTCTCCCAAATTATTAAATAGTTATCATATGACTCCAGCAATTCCACTCCTAGGTATTATAGATATCCAAGAGAAATGAAATCATGTCTATACAAAAACTTGTACATGACTGTTCACAGCAGTGTTATTTCATAATAATTAACAAAAACAAAAACAAGAAGAACAGCCCAATCCAAATGTTCTTCAACTGATAATGGATAAATAAAACATGATATACACATACAATGAAATATTATTTGGTAATAAAAAGGAATGAAGTTCTGATACATGCTATCCAAAAAAAACATTATGCTATGGAAAAGAAGCTAGCCACAAAAGACCACATATTATATAATTCCAATTATATAAACTGCCTAGAAGAGGCAAATCTGTGCAGACAGATTCGTGATTGCCAACAGCGAAGGGCAGGTGTAGGAGTGACTGCTAATGGGTACGGGTTTCTTTCTGGGATAATGAAAATGTTCTAAAATTGATCATGGTAATAGTTACACTTTTTATATATACTAAAATCACTGACTTGTACATTTTAAATGGATGAATTTTATGGTTTATGAATTAACTCCATAAAGATGTTAAAATGTTAACAACAAAAAGGGTTGACCAGTGGTTGAGAAACCAGGAATCCTCATATTCCAGATGTCTTCCTGGTACTGTTTACACAGCACTAGTATATAGGGCAAGAGTCACCTTCCTCCACCTGAGGGGGAACAAAATTATAGCACATCCTTAATGAAGACCACCTGGCCAGTATGATGCAGGCTTTTGTTATTTTCAGAATGCAGTAATGCAATGTGCCTGAGCCTTAATCTGCTGGAGAGGCGCAAGCAGCCTGCGGCTGGCTAGAATTCACGACAGCAGCCCTCCTATCAGCTGAGTGGGCAGGAAAAGGACCTAAAACTACAAAGTAGAAAGTACAGGTTAGGAAATTTCCTTGTGGCAAAACATATGCACAACATTGGGCGTCAAAGCTTTCTTCACTCCTGAATTCCTCTCCACTTCCCACTCCCGAAATAGAGTCTGCTATTCTAGGTCAACATACTTTAAATATAGGTACATTATGAATCAGCTAGAATTACATAATGATCAAGCAAGAAGGACCTTTAAAAGTATTGTCTAATGGAGCACTGACTCTGAAGCCACTTAATAAGTGGCTGTGTGACCTTCAGCAAATCCGTGTCTCTATACCTCAGTGTCTTCATCTGGAAAATGGGCATAATAAAGGCAACTGTTTTCTGAAATTGTTGCAAAGACTGAGTTAATCTATGTAAAATGTTTAGAAAAGTGCTTGGCACATTGTAAGTACTAATAAATTTTTAACTGTTCTTATAATTATAAACTGGTAAATCCCATTATTTTCATGGAGGAAGACACTAAGGCTCAGAATGCTAAAGTGACCCTGCAGTTGGCAGTAACAGGGCTGTTTGCCAGGCTTCAGGTCTCTTTGACTCCTCAACCAGTGTTCTAGAGCATTAATGTGTACCCCTGCATGTATGATACTCCTTGACTAACTTGTAGGTCTTGAAAGACACAAATTAACAAACACAGTGCTTCTTTAGAAGCATATCTCATACAATGTGGGAATCTTAACATGTTTTTAATTCACTCTCTTTTCATCCCAAGTTTAACCTTCTAACATCTGAAGAAAGGTACTGGCACTAAATCCCGGAATGTCCAAAAGGCAGGATGGCACCAGACTGTAAGAGAAAATACACGTAAACTTTTTTTTAAAAAATATTTCATTGAAGGAGGATAGAATACCTGAATATGCTTAGCATTTAAAGAAAGAGACTTCTTTTCTCTTTCTGCATTCTAGAAATACACTCATGTAAACCTCAGATGCTATTATCAGGGCTTGATGAGTTCTAACTTTCAGTAATGAATACCTATCAATTTAAAATTCAAGAGGCAAAAGAAGCTCACAAAATAATAATACGTAGTATTTAGTGAAGTACAATAAATGCAGCAGGATACAAAGATGTAACCAGAAAACATTCTATGCTACACTAAAGCCAGAGTAAGCTTTTAAACAATCTCATCACTTCTCTTTCTTTCATAGATGCATGCATGCATGTACCCACATGCACACACACAATCACATCACAGTGTTTAAACCAGCCTATGAGGCCCTGAAATATCTGGCCTCCTGCACACCCCTGCATCTTTGTTGGAGCCTCACTCTCCTCAGCTCTCAGCCAGACGGGTCCTCTTTCCTTTCCTCAAACTCACCTCTCTCTTCTGCTTTGGGGCCTTGACACTGGCATTCCCTGTGCCTGAAAAGTTCTTTACTTCCTCTAACTACACCTCTGCCTTGGCCTCTCCACCGAACTATTAACAGCTTGATTTATCCTTCAGACTCTGCTTAAACTTTTCCTCAAAGCAGCTTTCTCTAACCACCTGCACTAGCCTCTTTGCCCTCCCTCCTCCCCAACCAACCACACACAATGAAACATGGTTCTAACCACTTATCCAATAAATATCTTTCTTCCCCCACCAGACTGTAGGCTCAAGAAGGGCACTGGCTTTGTTCAACATTCCTTCCCCTGTGCCTAGCACAGTAGATGTTGAATGAAATTAACAACATCCCCTAAGGATTCAAAAGACCAAGTGATAAACTGATTTCCTAACTTCACTCAAATTTGACACAAGGCATCCCATATCAAGCTGTCAGCATGACAAATACACAAACCACACAAACAGAGGCATGGGTTATATACTACCTTTGGAGAAAAATTCAGAATGAACAAAAACTTGGATTGGGATTATATGTATTTTAAAGTTACCATGTGTAAACCTACAAGAAAAAAAAAGTTACTTTTTAAAACAAGCTTCAGAAAAAGAAAAAGTAACTTGTCACTAACACAACATGCTCATCTTGGAAGACCAAGTAGAAAAGTGGAGAGCGGAGGAAACAAGAATGCATGTGATCCTCGTAGGCTATTATCATTTCTTTCCCAAGTCAATTTATCTCCTAAAAGGAGAGAATATGCCGAACCATCATTCTAAGTGTATCTGGAAAAGTACCCAGTGGCGTGATGGGCTTCTATGAACAGTATGCCTACAAGGACGGGGCACATGGGTTAAGGGAACAAGCAGCATCATGTAAAGCTGTCTTTGGCAATGGCTCCAGTGCCCTCTTCTTCAGGGTTTCCACCCTAGCACCACTCACAGCAGTTCTCTTACTTTGGGAAGAAAAAAGTAGACTCTTTTTAGGAACAGATAGGAATCACAAGACAAAGATTCCAAAAGATCCTTCTAGAGAGTTCTGCTTTATTGAAGGATACACAAGGACAGTCAGCAACAATAACAGCAAAAGCATTTCACTACCAGGAAATAGTTACTGTATCAAGAGACTAAACTTTCCATATAGAAAGGAGAAGGAAAAGCGGGGGGGAACCCCACAGAACAACAAAAAAAGTTGGGGGTGGGGAAGAATGGGAAAAAAAGAAGAGTGTCGAAGATGAAAGAAAAAAAGGTAAAAAGTGTGTGTAATGAATGGAAAGGATTGAAGGACCAGCAACTAAATTTTACTGAAGTATATGCATCTGAGAGCTTAAAGAGACCTCAAGAGGAAAATTGCCAGGTCAAGCCTCCTCCCCTTAGGTTAGCAGTGCTGATCAGCCTCTGGCATCCACCAAACCAAAGCCTAGCTTTGAGTTACTGTCATCTAATCTAATTGCGGACATCACGGAAGATCCTTGAAGCAAACAAGAAAAACCTCTTCTCATTTAGTCTCTACTAATGATTACAGAAAAAAATAAACAGGCGAACTCACTGCTAATTATACTAGGCAAAGGGAAGAGATTCTGGGTACGCTCAACAGGGGCACCTTTGGCTGTGCTATGTGTGACCTCCTCGAAGTTACTATGCCAACTGATCCTCCCACACACACCCATTCTTAAAACACCCGGCGCATTACCATACTACAACCTTTTAAAAATCATCCCACAAAAGAAAGAAAAACGTCTCTCACCCACTCTAAGGGATACTGGGAACATTTCTGCTTTCAAACACACTGCCTTTAAAATTTTAAAGACCTAATCTATTTTCTGATAAAAAGTTTACTTCCAAAAAAATTGGCTAGCACAGTTTCCAGCATATAGTAGGCTTTTTTTAAATACTAGTTGCATACATGAAAAGAATGATCGTTCTGAATAATTTTCACAGCTGTAGAATAGTTACAACCTTCTCAAGATATGAAGCTTTTACCTCCACAAACTAGCAAAAAGGGCGGGTACTATTTTAAAGCCAATCTGTAAGGCACGGCAAGAAAGTTGCAAATATTTGCATTCATTTAACGGTAATTTCAGAGTCTGTAAAACAAAAGGAAATGCTCAACGAGAAAATATAAAAACCTTGTGCAGAGCTTTCAAACTGTGGAGTTGGGACTCTGACACCTTGGTGTGCACGCAGATCACTCAGAAGGTGACAAAGGGAAAATGTTTGCACTGAGGACTTTGATAAAGGATCTTTCCCCTGTGGAATTCCAGGTTACTGCTGGCATTCTTTTGAAACCTTCCAACCTAGCTGCGAGCCAAGGGAGTCCGGTTCCTTCGCCAAAATTCAAGAGATTCCCAGAGGACCCCACGGCGGGACGTCTGCGCTTTCCTCCCGCTGCCATGAGAGCACCGTGCCTATCAAGTCATCCCAAATCTCAGTCTTTGTAGCCTTCCTTGAAGCGAAAGGGCAGCCACAGCTCTTACTCAATCCCAAGAGAGGGCCGTGTCCTCCAGCAGGGTGACACGGTCCCGTGAGAGAACTGCTTTGGGAAATACTCCCGGTCCACGCTGGCCTCAGGAAAGGGCCGTGACCCCCGCCCCGGACGAGTCCAGACACCGCCCTCCCGCAGCACAGACAAAGGACCGGCCCCCAGCGCGCCCCTGGCCCGGCGCGGCCACTCACCGCTCAAATAGTTGGTCCACTTGTACAGCACCCCCTCCATGGCGCCCGCGGCCACTTGGCCCACGCCCGCCGGCCCCCTCACTGCCCCAGACCCCAGGAGACGAGGAGCACCGGCAGCAGGGCCATCACCCGGCGCGGCCCAGACGCCCACTCCCGGCGCCCGGGCCCGGTGTGGGGACGCCCGGTCCGCCTCACATCCTCGGCCCGGGGGCGGGGTCACTGCGGCGGCCTCGGCGCGAGAAGCCCAGTCAGCCGGTGAGCCCGTGCTGCGAAGCCAGGCACGCTGTTCACAAGGAGGCGCGGGCTCGAGCCCTACGTGGATCCGAGGGGCAGCCGAAGCCCCCCAAGTGCGGCGACCAAGCTGCCGGTCGCAGGCGGCGCCACGGCGCACTACCTGAACCCTCGACCTGCCGGGCCCGGGACGCGCTCACGCATGCCCAGTGCGCCGCTCGCGCGCCCCTTCCCAAAATCCACTCCGGGATTTTGCGGCGGCAGCGGCGGGGCGGACTTTGTGGGCAAGGCACGCAGGGAAATTGAGTCCTGAGACGCGGACGGGTGACTAGGCGATGGGAGGAGGAACGCCCCTGAGACAAGTGTAGAGCACAGTTCTGACTGTAAAGGGTGCCTGACGTTTGGGGGTCTACGTGACCTCTCACGATACCCCCTGTGTTCTTTTTCCAAAGCTGCCTAATTGATCTCACACACTTGAGGTAGCCGATAATAGGGCGTAAAGAGATGATTGGAATTTCAGGGTAGAATACTATGAGGCCAGTGTAAACAGGTGTTGTCCAGCCTCTAAGGTCTTGCTACTGGAAGTGTTGGTCCACTGACTCGGAGCATTGACATCACCTAAGAAAGAGCTTGTTAGAAATGCAGAATCTTGCACCCACCCCAGACCTCCAGAATCAAAATCTGCATTTTAAACAAGATCTCCAGGGGGATTCCTATGCGCATAGAGTGCGGAAATGCACTGTGCTAAAGATATTTGACCAGAAAAAAATGTTAACTACAGATTAAGTGGAAAGAGAAGGTGAGAAAAGAGTACAATACGATTTAAATCGCTTTAGGTATATGTTACAGAAGCATGCACCAAAATATTAAGAGGATTATTTGCGGCTGGTGGTGGTACCGACGAGCTTTCTTTTTCTTTAGTGTAAAGTTGCCTGATTTAGTAAATAAAAATGCAAAACAATTATTCGTTATGTATCTGAAATTCCAATTTAATTCGACTCCCCAATTTTATCTGGAAATCCTACTTTAGTGCTTTCCAATTTCTTCCAAATTGACTACAATGAACATGCATTGCTTTTGAACTTAGGCGAAAAATAGAAAACTGGAAAATGTAAACTAAGATGAGACTGTGTAATTCGTAGCCATGATTACCATTTCTTCTTTAAAGCGGAAGTCTGCAAGTCGTAACTCATTATTTACCCTCTAAGGTAACTTAAGGAATAAATTATTAGCAGCCATAACATGACGTGGTGCTGTGGAATGAATCAGACCTGGTTTGAAGGCAGAGCTCATCTGCTTCTGGGCCAAATAACCTTAAGCAGGACAGTTAATCTCTCCTGGTCTAAATTTACTTCTCTTTTTAATGGGAAAAAAAGAACCTGCCTTACTGGTTGTAGCGAGGTTCATGCAACAGGAACGCGCTTTGTGATTCCTAAAGCACTATGTCAGTCTTTACAGTTTACGAGCAATAGCAAAATCCTAGGATCGTGGCATCTTGGAGGACCGCTCTCCAACGGCGAGAGTAAACGAGACTTTCCTGGAACCCCGACTGTTTCATAAGGCCCCGGGACTCTTCCTACGTCTCTCAGCGGGGCTCTTCAAAGAGATAAATCAGCCGGAGGAGTTTCCGGTTATGTCTGCGCCCCACCACCCTCCCAAAATCCACGGGGGTTGAATTCTGAAAACCCCCGGGCTCTAGGACCACACTGGATGATCCGCCGCTTGGCAGCTGCCCGGCTCAACCGTGCTGTAAATTCCATCGTTGCAGCGTCATTGGCTTGAGAGCTTCCTGAAGGACAGCACCAATAGCCAATGGAAGGCCGCTATTCCCAGGCGGCCACGTCATAAGAGCCAATCAGGCCCTCATTTGGGCTTAACTCTTTAAAGGTGGGTTCGCGCCCCCTGAGAAAGTAGTTGGTAGTAAATGTGCCACGTCTTCTAAGAAGGGGGGAGTCCTAAACTTGCCTGAAGCCGTTGTCCCTAAGCCTTGAACTACGTTCTTAAATCTATGAAGTTGAGGGCCCTTTCGCTGCTTTTGTAGGGACTTCTTTCCTGCTTCAGCAACATGAGACTTTTCTTGTGCAACGCAGTCTTGATGCTGTTCGTCACTTCTTTGATTGGGGCTCTGATCCCTGAACCAGAAGTGAAAATTGAAGTTCTCCAGAAGCCATTCATCTGCCATCGCAAGACCAAAGGAGGGGATTTGATGTTGGTCCACTATGAAGGCTACTTAGAAAAGGACGGCTCCTTATTTCACTCCACGTAAGTAATTATGCCCCTCAGGTAAAATAATTATGCCAGCTCTCCAGCAGGAAAGGTGGCTTGTACCTGGTTTTACCTCTTTTACAAAACCGAAATATCTTATTTCCTTCTTTGGGAAAGGAAATTGTTTAAAGCCAGTTTTATGTAGCGAGCGAGGCCTTTGAAGGTCTTACTGGAAACATGTGGTCTGGAAAAGGCTGTCAGTTTTTTTTATTATAAAAATTAGAACTAGAATCTCTGAAATATTGCAGAAATATATCTGGGTGTATAATTGGGCAATAAGTAGAAAAAGCCCAAAAGAATGCTCATATCTCAAACTCCATTTCTTAGAGAAAATGACTTGATTCCATTTTTAATGTGGTGTAGGTGATGTTCACCTAAAACTTCATAGCGACTTCAAAAGCAAACTACACAATCACTTATTTGCCTGTTGAAGGATATACTAATGCCGTTTCACTGACCTACTTAACTTTTGTTCTGACGGATGATATTCTGGTCAAGGCACAGGACCATGATTTCAGTCATTTGCTTCTTTCTAGAGAGTCACACTTCATTCATGAGGTGGGTGTGGTTTTGGAAGTTTAGGTGAAGGATTTTCAGGTGGTTACACTATCATTTCTGTTCTATAAATGAAGAAATTGGAACATGGAAATGGTTTACAGCCTAATGATTTTCAATTAGGCATCGGTTCCATTCATTCCATTATGAAAGTATTTAGTGAGCATTTCCTTGATGTTAAGCCATGTTCTGGGTGCTAGGGAGATTCAGAAATTTTGGCTTCTAATCATCTTCATCTATTCATTAATCTGTCCATCTATCAAACTCTTATTGAATGGTCACAAGTCTGGTCCTAGAGACACAAAGATGGCTAGAAGCAGGTTCTTGTCCTCTAACAGTATACCATCTACAGGCGGGAGGAAGACAAGTAAATAATGCAAGTGATACAGGGTACAGAATATTCAAAGTGCCAGCAAAGCGTAACTGCACCTGGAAGTAGTTATGCTCCATGGGGGTGGGGAAAGGGAAAAAATTCCCAGAGACCGTAATTGAAGTGAGCCTTGGAAGATGAGTGGAGGTTTCCAGGGGGAAAGTGGGGAAGGAAGGATGTTGTACGTAGAGGGAATAACATGAATTAAAACAGTGAATCTTCATAGCCCATCCTCGGCCTAGTTTTCTAATAAACTGCCTTTACTGGGCATTCAGACCTGCTCTCTCTTGAGGGTTGGGGAAATGAATGGGGCTCTTCTCTCAACTGTTAGCCCTGGGAAAAAGTTCCAGAAACATGGCTTGCCTTAGAATTCTCAACAGCCCTTTATTCTTGTCAACTAGGTGAATGCCACAGCCAACATTAAATGATGTGATTTGCATTTTGAATATTCAGTTACATTGTTATTTTTAGTCTGATCTCTTTTAGACTCAGCCTGACTTCTTTCAGATCTCTGAACCAAAAACCTGGGCTGACTTTGGTGGTAGCCATGGAATATTATTTAGTAGTTTGCTACTAAGTTCTAACACTGTTATCATGCAGCCTCCATGTAAATGGTCAGAAGCTGCTAACTGTAAACATCATGAAGAAATACCATCAAATGGGCCGGGCGCAGTGGCTCACGCCTGTAATCCCAGCACTTTGGGAGGCCGAGGTGGGCGGATCGTGAGGTCAGGAGTTCAAGACCATCCTGGCCAACATGGTGAAACCCCTTCTCTACCAAAAATACAAAAATTAGCTGGATGTGGTGGCACACACATGTAGTCCCAGCTACTCAGGAGGCTGAGGCAGGAGAATCACTTGAACCTGGGAGGTGGAGGCTGCAGTGAGCCGAGAATGCACCACTGCACTCTAGCCTGAGCAACAGAGCGAGACTCTGCTCTGAAGAAAAAGAAATACCATCAAATGATCAGTTTGTAAGCACGTTTGCCATCTCTAGAACCATAACCTATGGGGTAAATTGCTTAGCCCTAACAAGAACTGTGCTAAAATTGTAGTCAGTAATGAGTAGTAGAATGTTTCCTGCTTTTTTCATTTTTAGCCGGCCCAAATTTTCTACAGTTGGCATTTTGTTCTTTGATCATTGGGCAAAATTACAGGAAAAAATGGCATTACCGAGATTTAGTAATCATGAAGCCTAGTACAGTGACTTCTTTTTCTTACCTACAAGATATCCTTGAATAGAATATTTTCCTTATTGCGCTGAAAGGGAGCTAAGTAGGGATCAGGCATTACTCAGCCCTCAAGCCCCCCTGTATTTAGTTGGGCAGGTTGGTTTTCCTAGGCTAGACTCTCTTCAGCTTATGATCCAGGACATCCTATTTCCCTCCTCCCCAGTTGATGTGGTTCGACTGTGTCCCCACCCAATTCTCATCTTAAATTGTAGCTCTCGTAATCCCCACATGTTGTGGGAGGGACCTGGTGGGAAGTAACTGAATCATGAGGGCAGGTTTTTCCCATTCTGTCCTCCTTGTGATAGTAAGTCAGTCTCACGAGATCTGATGGTTTTATAAAAGGCAGTTCCTCTGCAAACTCATTCTTGCCTGCTACCATATAAGACATGCCTTTGCTCCTCCTTTGCCTTCCGCCATGATTGTGAGACCTCCCCAGCCATGTGGAACTGCAAGTCCATTAAACCTCCTTTTCTTTATAAGTTACCCAGTCTTGAATATTTTTTCATAGCAGTAGGAAAATGGACTAATACACCAGTCCTTGAGGGGCTACTCTTCCAGACTTTCCTATATAGCCCCACTATAGACCCCTGAGGAGGAAACCGGGCTAGGGTCTGAGTGGGGATTTAGGGATGAAAAGCAGCCTTTTCTACTCATCAGAGCCATCAGCAGGCCGCAGCTAAGGAAAGTTTGTAGGCAGTATGTAAGACACTGTGCTTCTCACTCTCCATATTTGTGTGCATATGGACCCACATATGTTGGCAGTAAATTCTCCTTAGCCTTTCAATCTC